TGGTAGAGCATCAGGTGGGGAAGCAGGTGAGGAGCATGCTGCGCGCAGTAATGAAGGCTGTTGTGATCAAAAGCGAGTACGGGAGGGTAGAAGGTGGTGCGGCTAGCCTAGCTAGCCTACTAGGGCAAGCACTGTTCATCAAGAGTGAGTACAGGGACGAGCGAGGGGGTTGCATGGCGGAAGCAGGGGGGACGGGCACCGAGGCTAGGTATACAAGGGTGAATGCACATGGAGATGAGGTGATAGCACTGGCTTCACCGTTTGTGCAGCCCCTGCCGTCCCCACCACCACCACCACCACTGCAGCAAGAGCAGCAGCAGCAGCAGTTGGGGGAGGAAGGGCAGCAGGAGCAGGGGGTCTGGGGGGAGGGACGGAGTGAGCTTGCACGGAAGTGGCAGGGACTGAAGCTGCTGGCAGGGTCTGTTGGCTTGCGGGAAGACAGTTTCTCCTCTCAGGGCTGTGAACCACTCCTTGTGAGGAGCGCGGATAACACCTCCCTTGCAGTTGTCACCTCCCTGAGAAATCATTCCCCGGTGAGCACCAGTGGATCCTGCGAAGGCTCCCATTTGAATCAGAAGGGGGATTCTGGTGAAATGGCTGAGATGGGGAGGGGAGAAGCAGGACACGAGGAGATTACCGCTGCGCAGGCAAAGGGAATGGAAGATTGCAATGCATCACGAGCAATGAATAGTGGCATCGAGGAGTGTCATTTGTTACCGCTATCTTCTAGCACTGTTGCATGGGAAAAGGGGGTGCTACATGGATTGGTTCATAAAGTGGCAAGCAAAGAGGTTGGAATGCTCGAGGAGATGGTGATATACACGCTAAGGGATGACAAAGAGGGGTTTATTGAACAAAGTGGAGATCTGGTTTGGGATGCCTATGTTGACAGGCTTATTGAGCCCACGGAGGAATGCTACCACTTCTGCTATTGCCCAGGGGCTATCAGTAGCGTGCAATGAAGTAAAATTTGAAGGCATGTTTCATGTAATGGTGAACCTGGAGATTGCAGAAGTGCTAACGGATGAGTGTAGGAAAGCGCCACACTTGTGGGGTGGCTGGCTGGTATTGTATCACAATCGCAAGATTTAGCTACCGTATTAGCCTGCTGTGTTCACTCAAATATCAAATTCGGGGTCAAAATCAGGAAATTATTCGTGTGACTCACCCGCAATGGTGTTCCCCGCGGGTTCACAACTGCTGGAAATCCGAATACAGTATTATGAATACTGTATACCTATGCTGTTCGGTTTTAGTGTAGTCCCCTTTATAAGCCTCCAGGCACTCGTTTTGAGGTTGGTTGAATGATCAGCCTTGGTACAAAAAAAAAACTGGAAATTCATTGTTACATACATACACACACACACACACACACACACACACACACACACACACACACACACACACACACACACACACACACACGTGCTGGAAAATCAGTTTTACTACAAAATGACAGTCTGATTCTATAGGTTATGCAAAATTGCACCTACACTCTCTGACGCTCAGGATTGGCAAGCACACCAGCTGATCAGAATGCGCAGCTACATTCTGCCCTTGGGTACAAAGCCGTAGATATATATACCATCATCCAGGGCTCTCGTTATCATACCAAATTGGTCTGATGGTCTGATTTTCAGACCTTGATTTTCGGTTTCATCTGATTTTTAAGACAAAGGAATTTATTTCGTATGATCAATAACACTAGCGATTTTGATCCGTGTGATTTTTCAGATGAAGCGTAACAGTTCGTCTGAAAAATCAGAAAGCGATATTGTTTTTTGTCTGACACTGGCCCCCCTCTTCTCCCCCGCCCCCCCACCTTGCCACGACCCCTCCCCTTCTCGCAACCCCTCTCCTTCCCCGATTTGTTGCTCCCCTATCAGCCTAGCAACACCTCCCCCCCACCCCTCCTTCCCAAAGACCTCGAATATAATCCCCGATCCTTCTGCCTGCAGCCCCACCCAGTCCGGCCCTTCTCCGCTCCCCTCCCCAAGGTCCCCCCTCCCAGCCGAGCCCACTTTCTTCCCGCTAGCCCAGCGTGTCAGCGAGCGGGCTGTCACCACTGCGCCTGAGGCGAAAAAAACTTAGAAAAAAAAATGCAATTTTGCCATAATAGTGCGTTTACTAGATCAGATCATGTAAATTAAATCGTCTGATGAAACAGACAAAGCTTCAACACTCGTCTGAAAAATATGATTAAAAAAACTTGCTTGTCTGAACGTCAGACGAAACATATTTTATTTTATTTTTAAGTTCAGACGGGCCTAAATCGTAGCAAGAGCCCTGCCGACATCGCCCTGATATAAGATTGTGTCGAATTAAATACAAGGGGTGTATTTTATTGGGGTGTTTCTTGTAGATGGGTGTTCTTGATTTTAAGACAACTGTGTGCGTATACGAGTTAAGACAGCGTCTTATAAACAAGCAAACAAGTGTTTACTGGTTCTCTTTGTCAGAATCCCAACCACTAGACTACTAGGATAAAAAGACTTGTTTCAAATACGGGTCAGTGTGCCCATAACCCTCCAGGCTAACATGCATGTAATACCCCTAGGATAAATTGGGGATCCTCAGTGCAGGTCTACTAGTGGCATGCAGGGTATCAAAGTCCGAAGATTACGATATGCTACTAGGCATGAAACTGTTATACAAGGTGGGGGCAACCATCTGCACCTGGCAGGATGATACAATCTGAACCGTCTTATAGGATCGTCTCAGGTTGATCGCACGGAGTGTAGCAACGGAAGGTTTGCCTGGTAATGGCGGGTACGGACTCTGTCAGTAGAGGGAGATTTGAATCTCGACAGAAGTGACTAATACAATGCGGTACATGGGTTTATATAGGAATACAGTGGAATTCGAAAGGTCCTAGCTAGCCATGTACTCTGAGGGGGTACATTCCCCTTAGGGCTAATCTAGATGCAGGATTGCAACCGTGCGGTTCGGTAACCGTACGCGGTTCGGTAACCGTTTGAAGTTTTCCCGCGCTTTGCACTTCGAATTCCTCATGCTTGTAACTGTCTTCGATAACTGTCTTGTCGCTCGGTCTTCGTCCTCGCTGCAATCATCTTCGCGTTAAGGATTCGTTACTTAGGAATGCTTATTCAACTATTCCATATTGTAACACTCCCCTTCATTCCTGGAGGAGCGAAGTCTTGACGCGCTTGGTTATACCGCAGATGTTTCCGCAGTGATGGTACTGCTGACGTGGCTGTTTCTTGGTGAGGAAATCAGCTGCCATGTCACCAGTAGGGCAGTAAGTCAAGATGACTTTGCCTTTGTCAACTTCGTCTTTGACAAAGAAGTAGCAGAGTGCGATGTGCTTGGTGCGGTTGACGAAGCCAGGCTTGTTCGCAAACTGATCGCGCTCTGGTTGTCGCAGTGAAGTTTGAAGCTCGCAGATGTCGCAATTTTTGCCTCCTGGAGCAGTTCATGGAGGTAGAGCCCTTCGCGAACTGCTGATGTGGCAGCGATGAACTCAGCTTCAGCGGAGGAGAGTGCCACCATTTCTTGCTTCTGAGAATTCCAGGAAATTGGGCCAGAAGGTTCGAGGCAGAATAGGAAGCCGGTTCGGGACCGTCGATTTGCAGGGTCGGCGGCATGATCTGCGTCCACGTAACCAACGAGGCTGAATGAGCGAGTCGTGAGGGTGGAGTAGGTGAGTCCAATGTGCGGTGTGGAGATGAAGTATTGCAGGGCGCGCTGCAGATCCAACATATGCTCCCCTTCAGGCCGCTTGGCATACTGGGCGAGTTGGCTCGAAATGTTTGACAAGTCAGGCCTGCATGTCACTGCAGCGAAGAGAAGGCAACCGAGTTGCTGCTGGTACAATTGATGGCCGGATGGGTTGAGTGGGGTGGTGTTGGGATTGGCGGGGATGTGCGGAGAGCAGTAAGGTGTTGAGATGTTTGCTGGCTGAATGTTAAATTTGGCGGAGAGAGTTTCTGCGTACTTGGCCGCGGAAAGATGAATGGCATCGGGATCGTAGGAGATGTTGAGGCCCAAGAATTTGGTGACTTGATCGGTGCTGGTGATTTCAACGCGGTTGCTGAGGTTTTTCTCGAACTGGGCGAGGAGGTCGTTGCTAGTGCCGGTGTAGAGAAGATCATCCACGTACGCCGTTAGAAGGATGTAGTCTCCACGAAACTGAAGGCGATACATGCCGGGATCGTGGGGAAGCTGGATGAAGCCGATGTCGAAGAGGATTTGGTGAAGATGCTGCTGCCAGAGTCGCGGAGCCTGCTTAATGCCGTAGAGCGATTTCTTGAGCTGATACACACGGTTATCGCTGTCGCCGTAGGTGTGAGGCTGCTCGACGAAGATGAGGGCGTCGACTGGCGCGTAGAGGAAAGCATTTTTTACGTCGATCTGACGGAGTGGAAGATGCTTTGCGGCGGCGATGGCGAGGAGGATGCGAACGGAGGTGTGACGGCTGACGGGGCCAAAGGTCTGATCAAAGTCAACGCCGTGACGTTGATCAAATCCTCGAACAACCCAGCGGGCTTTGAATCGTTCGATGGTGCCGTCAGCTGCGGTCTTGACACGGAAGACCCAATTGCTGGAGAGGACGCGTCTCCCCTTCAACGCTGCACGGTCTGCGAGGACCCAAGTTCTGCGGGCTTCGAGATCGAGCAGCGGGGCGACGGTAGCTAGCAGCGAGGCGACGATAGCAAGCAGCGAGGCGACGATAGCGATCAGCGAGGCGACGATAGCGAGCAGCGAGGCGACGATAGCGAGCAGCGAGGCGACAATAGCGAGCTGCGGGGAGACTGTTGCGAGCAGCGGAGCGACGCATCGGTTCGACGGTGGCGAGTGGTGGCAAGTGGCCGACGAAACGGGAGCGAGAAGCATCATGGACCAGCTCCCGCCCCGTCCCCGTCCGTCGGCCTGCCCCCCCTCCAGCCTTCCCTCCTTCCCTTCATTCCCGTCCCCGTTACGCCCTTTCTTCCCTCCTCTCCCTGTCCCTTCCCTCTCCCACTCCCCCACCCTCACAAGGAATGTTCTCCACCCTGTCCATTTCCTCCCCACCCGTCCATCCCCTTCCCCCACCGTCTCTTCCTTTCCCCCTTCTACTGGCCCTCCGATTACCCCACTTCCCTCCCCCTTCTCCATCCCTCCCCTTTTTCCATCTCTCCCCCTTTCCCACTGCTCACAATGGCTGCATGCAGCAAAGGCGCAACGGTAGCAAGCGGCTCGCTCCCTCCAGTCTCTCTCGCTGATCCTTCCAATTCTCCCTCCCCTTCCCCACTTCCGTGCCTTCCCTTTCCGCCAGTCCCATCTCTCCCCTTCCCTTTCATCCGCCACCCCACTGCTGATTCTCTCCCTTGCCCCTATCCTTCTCTCCCTTTCCCCCTGTCCTCCTCTCTCTTTCCCCCTATCCTTCTCTTCCTTTCCCCCTGTCCTTCTCTCCCTTGCCCCTATCCTTGTCTTCCTTTCCCCCTGTCCTTCTCTCCCTTGCCCCTATCCTTCTCTTCCTTTCCCCCTCCCCCACTCTCTCTTTCCCCCTATCCTTCTCATTTTTTCTCCCTGTCCTTCTCTCTGCTTTCCCCCTATCCTTCTCATTCTTTCTCCCTGTCCTTCTCTATCTTTCCCCCTATCCTTCTCTACAGTTCCCACTGTCCTTCTCTCATTCCCCCTATCCTTCTCTCCCTTTTCTCCTGTCCTTCTCTTTCTTTCCCCCTATCCTTCTCTTCCTTTCCCCCTGTCCTTCTCTCTCATTCCCCCTATCCTTCTCTCCCTTTTCTCCTATCCTCCTCTCCCTTTCCACCTGTCCTTCCCTTCCCACCCTTCCTTCCCCTCTCTCACATCCCTTCCCTTTCCTACTATCCTGTCCCACCATTCAACCTTCTCTCGGCATCCCTTTCCCCCCTCTCCTGTCCCACCCCTTTCCCCACTCCCGTCCCATCCCTTTCCACTACGCCCCCTCGTCCATCCCAGCCCACAACACCGGCTTCGCTACCTCAGTTTCCATCCTGCTTCCCCGTCACCCTCCCTTCAATTTCCCTATCAAACATTCTTCCCTAAAACGCATCGTGTCTTTCCCTTCCCTCCCACCCCCCCCCCCCCCCCCCTCCCTCCTTCCTGTAGGTGGACAGCTGCACCAATAGTGGATAGGAGTATGAAAATCGGCTCTTGGATGTTCCCATGTTGTTTGCCTGCTATCTATCCTTTGCATATAAAATCTTTCAAAATGCCAGCCATTTGGCTTGCAGATCTACACAGTTTATGAAATTTACTAGTCTTTCAAAATACTAGTCTTGCAAATATAAGGAAAAATAAACCTCATAAGTAGTTATCTTACTCCACTTTGTTGAAACATAAGGTTTTTAGTTTTGCAATGTGGTGTTATTGGCAATAACAAAAGAGGGTATGGACGTATTGATGGGGTCCGATTTCCCGTAGTCGTGTTTGTTCCCCCCTTTCCTTCCCCCCCACCCCTTCACCCGCCCCCCCTTTCCTTTTTGAGGTTCGCAACATTCGCCTCAGTTGTTTCTTTTTCTTTTTCTTTTTCTTTTTCTTTTCATCGCAACCTACTCTCTCGCTAGCCAATTGACGACCACAGCGGAACAAGACAAAAAACGGTTTGTCACTGTTCCTAAGAATGTTGCACCGCGGCGTGTCTGTATCCATTTGTTGGGGAGTGAATGTTGCCCTAAATGTGTTTGGTGACGTGTGTCATGTGTTCAATTCGTCAACCAATAAGTGTATATTTTGTTTCCATTGCAACCTACACGTGGCGAAGATGAGTGCGCCTTGTGCGTTTGGCGCAAGTTGAGCCGCACCAACGTGGCGTACAGTCACGAACGAACAAGTTCGCGACGTCATTTTCGTTTCGGCCACATTTTTCGCGATGCCTGGTTTTGGCCTAAAGACAAAGATTTCGAGGGTCACTAACTTTGACTCCTTCGCATGTGATGCTTTCATCGTTTGGTGACCACTTGCACAAGTGGCACAGGGGGTCTATAATGTGGTGCAACTGGCTGGCCCCAAATACAGTACAAGCGTGCAGAGTTGCTGGCGCGTGCAGGGCAATTTCGCGCGCAGCAGTTGAGCAACATGTGTACACGGGCAGCATATCCCATCCCACCACCGCCATGTCCATCACGAACAAACAAACCATCACCGTGGATTGTCGGTTCTCAACTAGATACTGTAAACTCATTGTCTGTTCTTTGACAAGTGGTAACCCGCAAAGGAGAGGTGTGTCAGTGTACTCAAATTCAACCGGCGTGAAATACGAATTTAGGGCGTGTTACATTTTCGATTTTTTTCCAAAGGAACCGTACTGTCTAAACCCTAGCTTGCTTCTATTTCTGTCTGCTAAAGCAGAACGAGCGGCTTAGCTGACCTTGATTCCCGCTGCATTCTCTTCCTCTCTCTATACTGTCACGCCGAGTACCACATTACCGTCAGTGCGACTCGAAGGTTACCTTGCCATTGCCTTCCTTGCGTCTCAACAGCGCTATCGCGGCCGTTTATTGTTGAATCTGAACCGTCGACTGATTGACGTAGGCTGTCAGTGCCTCGATGGCGTCACTAGCAGGATGGCCGACTGGCGCAGTAGAAGGCGAAGACGTGGTAAGCCACCGACTTTAGCGTCTAAATAATACGATCCTTTATATATATGTCTAGCCGCCTCGAAAATCGTCTGTAGCCGTTGAAGAATGACTATCTAAATAATAGACTATGCGCACCAATCGACTAGCGCTTTAATGATGCAATCCGCTCCGTTCGTTTTCGTCCGCGCGCGAATTCCAGTTATTATTGCCTCAGTGCCTCACTTCCATTCCCCAGCCTCTATGGTCTTTCCCCTCTTTCTACCATAGAGGCTTCGCTGTGCCGCTTTTGATTTGCGGATTTGTTTCTGCCCGCAATGTTCCTTCTTTTTATCGAGCTTTTCGCCGACCCTGGAGGAGCGCAAGCTGCATACCTCTCGTTTAAGATCCGTACATCCCGTTTTCATGAATATTAACACGGTTCCAGGTCCGAACGATTTTTATAACGGGTTTAGCCCCAGACACCATGGAGCGCGAGCTGCAGAACCGTCTTATCAGTAACTTCTTTATTTCACGTCTTTATTATTATGTTTTTATACCTCAGGTTCGAACGATTTTTATAACGGGTTTCCCGCCGGACACGAAGGAGCGCGAGCTGCAGAACCTGCTGCGCTGGTGGCCGGGCTACGAGTCGTGCCAGCTGTCGTACAAGGGCGACCAGCCAATGGGCTTCGCGCTCTTCTCCACGTCAGCCATGGCCTTCGCCGCTCGCGACGCATTGCAGGTACGCCCGTCGGTCGGTCCCTGACCTGGCGTGGCCAAATGCGAACAGGTCTGGTCGCGTCAGATCTGATCGCGACGATTTCTCTTGATCTGGTCGCGTCATATCCGGCATGTCTTTTTCTCGGGCCTGTTTTCATCGTGATCCATGGAAAATGTAGCAAGATGCAGCATAACTTGGAGTGGTAGGGTTCACGGTTCAAATCCGGTCCGATTGTATTGAGCCTGCGCCAGAAATCCCGTTCCTCTGAGACTGCATTCCTTCGTGCCAGCTGGCCCCTCACTGCACACGAGACCGTGCACGCCATGGCGTTCTAGATTATTAAAACACGAAGTCCTAATCCGTGTTTCCATGGCCATTTTTGTTTCCTCCCCTGGTGCGTAGGGGCTGTTGTTCGATGTGGAGTCCAACGCGGTGACGTCTGAGGCTCCTCAAAAGTTTTATTTTGCCCCCTTTCCCCTGTTTTTCCCTTTCCCCTGTTCTGTGTAGGGGCTGTTGTTCGACGTTGAGTCCAACGCGGTGCTGCGAGCGGAAGTGGCCAAAAAGAACCTCTTCAGAAAAAAAGGTACAGTACAGATGATGTGTATATCTACATTCAAAGAAAGAACTAAAGGACTGTTCCTACTGTATCTTGAGGACGACAATTAGTCGGTCGGTCCTTGGTCCAGTCCAGACTCGTGTTCAATTCAAATGCGTGCTAGCGTTTGGTGGTCGGTTTCGGTGCGTTTTCTCTCTCACTTAATTTCCATTTTTTCTCCCATTTTTATTTTCTTTCCCTTCTTTTTTCCATTGGCTATTTTTCTCTACCTTCCTTCACTCCGTCTTCCCACACTCCTCAGGTGCTGAGGATCCAGCCAAGAGGCTCCGCGTTGCTGACGCCTTGACCTCGTAAGCCTTGATCAGTATTTTGCGTTCCTAGCTTTTCATATGTTGAGGTTGTGTAAGCCTTGAGCTTGCTCATGTCTAGTCGTAATCCTAGCCTTGAGCAGTATATTCTGCCTTTCTTACTTTCCACATGTTGAGATCTCTGGCGTTATTATCATCCCGGCTTTGATGTCGCCATTAATATCATCCTGTTTTTCAAACCCCTCTTCTGAAAAATGCGGTACATTAATGCCACTTCGTTTCCCCCACCCTTGGAATAATCTCTCCTCCTCCTCTTCCTTGCGGCTATGTGGTTCGTTCCTGGAGCATCCTTCTATCCTATGATCCCTACGGCGCAGCTGCAGCAGTCGCGTTTGCTGCAGCAGCTGTGGGTTCCATCTTAACCTTTCAACCCCCTCCACTTCATCCCAACTCTTCCCCGCCACTCTCTCCTCTTCCTCCCATGCAGCTATGTGGTTCCCGGAGCAGCCTCTTATGATCCCTACAGCTGTGCTGCAACGGCCGCCTTCGCTGCAGCAGCTGTGGGCGCCATCTTACCATTGCAACCCCCTCCACTTCTTCCTCTCTCTTCCCCGCCACTCTCTCCCTTTCCTCCCATGCAGCTATGTGGTTCCCGGAGCAGCCTCTTATGATCCCTACAGCTGTGCTGCAACGGCCGCCTTCGCTGCAGCAGCTGTGGGCGCCATCTTACCATTGCAACCCCCTCCACTTCTTCCTCTCTCTTCCCCGCCACTCTCTCCCTTTCCTCCCATGCAGCTATGTGGTTCCCGGAGCAGCCTCTTATGATCCCTACAGCTGTGCTGCAACGGCCGCCTTCGCTGCAGCAGCTGTCTGTGGGCGCCATCTTACCATTGCAACCCCCTCCACTTCTTCCTCTCTCTTCCCCGCCACTCTCTCCCTTTCCTCCCATGCAGCTATGTGGTTCCCGGAGCAGCCTCTTATGATCCCTACAGCTGTGCTGCAACGGCCGCCTTCGCTGCAGCAGCTGTGGGCGCCATCTTACCATTGCAAGTTGCAACCCCCTCCACTTCTTCCTCTCTCTTCCCCGCCACTCTCTCCCTTTCCTCCCATGCAGCTATGTGGTTCCCGGAGCAGCCTCTTATGATCCCTACAGCTGTGCTGCAACGGCCGCCTTCGCTGCAGCAGCTGTGGGCGCCATCTTACCATTGCAACCCCCTCCACTTCTTCCTCTCTCTTCCCCTCCGCTCTCTCCCCTTCCTCCCATGCAGCTACGTGGTTCCCGGAGCAGCCTCTTATGATCCCTACGGCGCTGCTGCGGCAGCCGCGTTTGCCGCTGCAGCCGTTGGCTCCGCTCCTGCTGCTGTCATGCCACGCACTGTTGCGTCATCGTACACGCCGTCCAAGGTGGGTTGGTTGGGAAAATTCTCCCAATTTCAAGGTGGGTTGTGGGTTGCGGAAAAGGGGGGTTGAGCAGCGGTCGGCTCCGCTCCTGCAGCTGTGATGCCACGCACTGTAGCATCGTCGTACACTCCCTCCAAGGTGGGTTGCGTGGGTTGCATGCAGTGGGGGGGGGAAGGAGAGGGGGGTTGAGCAGCGGTCGGCTCCGCTCCTGCGGCTGTCATGCCACGCACTGTAGCATCGTCGTACACTCCCTCTAAGGTGGGTTGCTTGGATAATATCTTCAAGGTGGGTTGCGGTTGGGGGGGGTTGAAGCTCTACCCCTGCTGCTGTCATACCACGCACTGTAGCATCGTCATACACTCCGTCTAAGGTGGGTTGCTTTGGAAAGCCCTGCAAGGTGGGTTGTGGTGGGGGCGTTGTGCAGTGGTCGGCTCCGCTCCTGCTGCTGTCATGCCACGCACTGTTGCGTCATCTTACACTCCGTCTAAGGTGCGTGGGTTGCATGCAGTGGGGGGGGGGGAGGGGAGAGGGGGGTTAAGCAGCTGCGGGCTCCGCTCCTGCTGCTGTCATGCCACGCACTGTTGCGTCATCGTACACGCCGTCTAAGGTGGGTATTTGCTGTTCCAGGTTCAGGGTTGTGAGAGGGAAGTCTGTGGGTTGAATGGGCTCCGCTCCTGCTGCTGTTATGCCGTGCACTGTAGCATCGTCGTTCACGCCTTCCAAGGTGGGTTGTGTTGCTGTTTAGGTAACGGGGTTTAAGGTTCAGGGTTGTGAGCGAGTAAAAAGCTTTTGTTGTATACATCGCATGTAAGCGTTACATAACTGTTGTTGGAGAATTCAGGATATATGACCACCCAAGCCTTTTCCTGCTTTTTATTTTCCCATTCGTTCAGGTATACAAGGACAACCCGCCATGCAACACTCTCTACATCGGCAATCATCTTTACTAGTATCTGATAAGTGTTCTCCCTCTTCCCTCCTCCCTTATCGTTCAGGTTTACAAGGATAACCCGCCCTGCAACACACTGTACATTGGCAATCTCAGCCCCTTTGTCAACGAAACTGAGATCCTCAGCATCTTCGGCACGTGAGTGGCTCCTCCCCTCCTGCCTCCGTACTCCCTCCCCCTCTTTCCTCCCTCCTCTCTCCTTCCTCCTCCCTCCTCCCTCTGATTTCTTTCCTCCCTCCTCTCTCTTCCCTCCTCCCTCCTCCCCCCTCCTCGCGCCCCCTGCCTTCAACAATAGAGACACTGCTCAGACACTGCTTCACGGACCTTCCATGATTTCACCTCCCCTCCTTTCTCCCGGGTACATCCTGCGTGATAATGCCTCTTTTTTTCTTGAAACCCTGCTTATTGATACCTCTATCATTACACTACTTCCCCTCCCTGTACCCCTTCCGCCCTGCGTGATTCTACCCCCCTCCACCTACCTCTCCCAGGCAACCGGGTTACGTGCAAATGAAGCTGACGAGGCAAGGCGTCACCAACACCTGCTGCTTCGTGCAATACTCGGTGAGATTTGTTGAAGTCAAATCAAGAGTACTACCCTCAGAGCTGAAGTGAGAGCTGTTTATCAGTGAGCGCCTTCGCCTTCCCTTCCTTTTAGGTATTTGTATGGTATATCTGTCCTGTCATCCCCTCCCTCCCACCTCGCTTCCCCCTCCCCCTTCCCTCCCGCCCCCTCCCCAACAGGACATAGCATCGGCATCAGCAGTGCACGCGGCGTTACAGGGCACCTCCCTTGCCTCCTCTGATAGAGGCCCAATCCGCATCCAGTTCTCCAAGAACCCGCTCCCTCGGAGTCAAGGGGCCTGATTTTGGGGACTGACCCTCTCTTTTTCCTCCTCCCTCCTTCCCCACCCACACAACAGGACATAGCGTCGGCATCAGCAGTGCACGCGGCACTACAAGGCACGTCCCTTGCCTCCTCTGATAGAGGCCCCATCCGAATTCAATTCTCCAAGAACCCGCTCGGAGTTAAGGGGCCGGGCTTCGGGGGAGGAATGGGCGGAATGGGGGGAATGGGCGGAGTGGGGGGGGTGGGGGGCGTTGTGAAGAGTGAGATAGGCCCAGTGGCGGAGCCCCCACCAGCGGGAACGGACGGAGGAGCAGGGGGACCGATTGGGGCAGAGGCGGCAGCAGCTGCGGCGTTGGCAGCAGCGAGTGGGTTGACCTAGAGTGCGTTGTGGTGTGAAGGGTCAAGTGAGATAGGCCCAGTGGTGGAGCCACGTGTATTGAGGGTATTTTTGATACGTTCGGGTGTGAAGGGATGTGGCAGCTGGAGCAGACGCGGGGGCAAGTGGGCGTTAGCAGCAGCAAGTGGGTTGACCTAGAGTGTGCTGTGGGCGTGAAGGGGTGTGGCAGCAGCAGTAGGGGCAGCAGAGGCAATAGCCACGGCAGGGGCGGTAGGGGTAGGAGGGGCAGCAGGAGCAATAAGCGTGTTGGCAGCAGTGAGTGGGTTGATTTGGTGTGTGTTGTTGTGGGTGTGTAGGGGTGGCAGCAGGAGTAATGGGGACAGCAGGGGCAGTAGGGGCAGCAGGGGCAGTGTGGGCAGCAGGGGCAGTGGCGGCAGCAGGGGCAGTAGGGGCAGCAGGGGCAGCGGGGGCAGTGTGGGCAGCAGGGGCAGTGGGGACAGCAGGGGCAGTAGGGGCAGCAGGGGCAGCGGGGGCAGTGTGGGCAGCAGGGGCAGCGGGGGCAGTGTGGGCAGCAGGGGCAGTGGGGACAGCTTGAGCCGTAAGCGTGTTGGCAGCAGTGATTGGGTTGATCTGGTGTGGTTCGAGGAAATGGTGCTGCTGGGCTGTCGCTGCTGTGATTTGTTGCAAGGAAAGTGTTAGAATGTAGCATATGCTGCAATAGTCGTGCTGGTGTTTCACCCTGCCCTTGCTCGAAATGTTATTAGAAACGGATGGGAGGGCGGATGGATGGATAATCAGCATCAGGATCTGTAGAGGTTGATGCAGCAGCGGCGTGTTTTCATGGTTGGAGCTGCTTGTAATAGCTAGTCAAAAGAAGCCACGACATAGGGACGGGTGGAGGGGTGGTAGCAGTAGGAGCAGAAGAATGCAGGGTCGGATGGAGGTTCGGCAGGATTGGATGCAGGGTCGGATGCAGGGTCGGATGCAGGTTCGGATGGAGAAGCAACAGGAGCGGTAGGGGCAGAGGCTGGTGCTGCTGTGTCTGCTCGGAGGTAGCATGATGGGTCATGCATTGCAGCATCGGGATTGGTATGCACATGGCATCCATGTGGCATGTATGTGGCACCCACATGGCACACACGTGGCATGCGTGCGCATGGTACCCATGTGGCCAGCCACTTGCATTACCATACATTCCCATTCCAATTCCCGTCACTAGAATCAGCATTGCATTGCGTGGCATTGCAATTCCAGCCACTACCATTACCATTGGTTCTTCATTGCAATCCTCCCCAGTAACGTTACCATGCATTTGCCATTCCAATCCATGTTACTAGAATCAGCATTGTTTGACATTTCAATTCAAGTTACTTGCATTACCATGACTTCCCATTCCAATGCCGGTCACCATTAGCATTGTTTGACATTCCAATTCCAGTCACTAGCATTACCATCGATTGCCCTTTCATTTCCTAGCATTACCATGGGTTGTTGTTCCAATTCCTGGCACCAGCATTACCTTGGTGGTTTGCCATTGCATTTTAAACACTAGCATCACATGGAATGCCATTCCAATTCCCAGCAAGCACTACCATCGATTGCCATATCAATTCCAGGCACCACCATTAGCATGCATGGACCACCATTGACATTGAAACCAAGCACGATTCCAACACTACACAATCCCCAATTAACATTGAAGCGTATCATTGCAAGCACTAGCGCATCAGCATCAGTAATAACATCAGCATCATCATCAGTATGAGCATTGGCATCAGCGTCGGCATCAGCATCGGCATCAGCATCGGCATCAGCATCGGCATCAGCATCAGCACCAGCACCAACATACCAGCATCAACACAAACATCAGCATCAGCAACAACATTCACTGCACGCACACTTTGTCCTATGTACAACCAGCACCAGCTGCAACATCAGCATCAGCATAAGCATAACCATCAGCACGAGCATCAGCGTCAACATCAGCAACAACATTCACTGCACACTTTGTCCTATGTACAACCAGCACCAGCGTCAACTTCAGCATCAGCATCAGCATAAGCATCAGCACAAGCATCAGCGTCAACATCAGCAGCAACATTCACTGCTTACTTTGTCCTATGTACAACCAGCACCAGCATCAGCATCAGCAACATCAGCATCAGCATTCCGGTGTGGGTGGGCCTCATTCAACCATGACCAGCATCCACATCCCTCCACTCCATGGCCCCTTTCAAGCATCAGCATCAGCATCAGCATCATCATCAACATTCACCGCTTATTTTGTCCCATGTTTAATCAGTAGCATCATCAACACCACAGCACCCAACAGCAGCAGCAGCACCAGCATCAACATCAGCACCCACAGCACTGTCAGCCGCGCCCATCCCTTTGACAGTGCATATGCGCGCATGACTCTACCGCTTTGACAAAGAGGGCTGCACTGCAGTGAGGTTGGAGTGCGGGCTGCCGACCAGCCGGCCAATGAACGCCTCTCGTCAACAAAAACAGGTTTCTACTGCAATGGCATCACCACTGCCATGCGAATGCCGTGGGCAGGCCAGTGGAATTTTGGGATTGGCGTTGCCATTACCATTTGCATCCAGCGGGATCGGTGTTTCCACTGCTGTTGCCGTTTATCATTGCCATTACCATCACATTCTCCACTACCATTTGGCATCGGTATTCATATGTTCAGGATGTGACCAACTTGAGGGGTGTTGACCTTGCAATCATGGATGTTTTGACAGCATTGCACCCATTGACATTGACTTGTCATGTTCAAGAAGAGTCATGATACTTCCATCACTGTGAAAGCATGGTGACATTGCCATTGCACTCTCGAAGGCATTGCAACCATCATTGTCAGGAGTCAAGACATCTTCACTATGAAGGCATTCGGGGCGTTGGATTTACAAGCATGTGAGCATTGCAATCGTGTTGCTATCACGGATGCATTGCAGCCATTAATGCATTGCAGCCGTTGATGCATTGCAACCATTGATGCATTGCAGCCATTGATGCATTGCAACCATTGATGCATTGCAGCATTGATGCATTGCAGCCATTGATGCATTGCAGCCATTGATGCATTGCAGCCATTGATGCATTGCAGCCATTGATGCATTGCAGCCATTGATGCATTGCAGCCATTGATGCATTGCAGCCATTGATGCATTGCACCCATTGATGCATTGCACCCATTGATGCATTGCACCCATTGATGCATTGCAGCCATTGATGCATTGCAGCCATTGATGCATTGCAGCCATTGATGCATTGCAACCATTGATGCATTGCAGCCATTGATGCATTGCAGCCATTGATGCATTGCACCCATTGATGCATTGCAGCCATTGATGCATTGCAGCCATTGATGCATTGCAGCCATTGATGCATTGCAGCCATTAATGCATTGCAGCCGTTGATGCATTGCAACCATTGATGCATTGCAGCCATTGATGCATTGCAACCATTGATGCATTGCAGCATTGATGCATTGCAGCCATTGATGCATTGCAGCCATTGATGCATTGCAGCCATTGATGCATTGCAGCCATTGATGCATTGCAGCCATTGATGCATTGCAGCCATTGATGCATTGCAGCCATTGATGCATTGCAGCCATTGATGCATTGCAGCCATTGATGCATTGCACCCATTGATGCATTGCAGCCATTGATGCATTGCAGCCATTGATGCATTGCAGCCATTGATGCATTGCAACCATTGATGCATTGCAGCCATTGATGCATTGCAGCCATTGATGCATTGCAGCCATTGATGCATTGCAGCCATTGATGCATTGCAGCCATTGATGCATTGCAGCCATTGATGCATTGCACCCATTGATGCATTGCAACCATTGATGCATTGCAGCCATTGATGCATTGCAGCCATTGATGCATTGCAGCCATTGATGCATTGCAACCATTGGCGCATTGCAACCATTGGCGCGTTGCACTTGTCATGGTCAAGAGTCATGATGACATTTTCGATAAGTGATTGCAACGTTTATCACAGTGAGGGAGGCATGGCATGGTCAACAGGGGTTATGAGCATCAGCATGGTCAGTGTCATGACATCAGACCAGCGGCATGACATCAGCATGACCACCAGCATGACATCAGCATGCTAAGAGGTTCTCGTTTCAAGCATTCGCATGCCATGCCCTGTCATCAGCAGCATCTCGATCGTTCATGCTGCGACATCAGGCAACCCTCACAACCATGCTATTTCATGCTGCCGGCACTAAGCACCACAGCTGTGATCGCTCATGCTGCCAGCATGAGGCACCCCCCAGAAACATGAGTTTCATTACTTGTGAAATTTGTGAATGGTCATTTTCGAGGTGAGTTTCTCATGTTACCAGCATGGTGAATGTGCCATGTACCGGTACTATCTGTCATGCACCGTCGCTCTGGATCCATGTGTGATGCGCTATGCAGTGACACATGCGTCGCGCATTGTCCGTCATGTGCCACGTGGGTCCATGTGCCATGTGGCATCTCCCATGCACCTCCGCCATGTGCTGTGTAGCATGTGCCGTGTAGCATGTGCAGTGCATGCATTGTCTGGCATGTGCCATGTGGGTCCATGTGCCGTGTAGCATCTGCCATGTACCTGTCTGGGTCCATGTGTGATGTGCCATGTAGTGACATGTGTCGTGCATGCACTGTCTGCCATGTGCCATGTAGCATACGGTATGCCATGCACCTCTGCCATGTGCCATATTGATGTGCCACGTCGCACAGAGTGTCATGCATGATGCATGAACCATCTGCCATGTGCCGTATGGGTCAAAGCGTGATGCGCCATGTTCCACGTGACATGGACTATGCATGCATGCATCAACCCCTTCCATGCCTGCTCTTCTCAACTTCCCGTCACCCACTCGTTGTCAAATGATGCTGTGCAAACAGAGTCTCGGCCTGGGCATTCTGTTAACAGGATGGTTTTCTAGCATACTAAAAACTTATTCTCACTTGATTCTGTGCCAACACGTCATGTGTCCAGGCATTCGATCGTGCAGGTTGTCTGCCTTTTTTCTGCTGCATGTTCTCGCCATCCTGGCAAGATGTCAACACAGACGATGCCCGTACCTAATATAGGTACCTGGCTTGCAGCACCTATCCATCCACGAATTTTGCTTGGAGCCAAAAAACTCGGGGTATTGTTCTAGAGAAGTCTTCCTTTTGGGTCTGATGTGTTCTTGTAGTTCAAGATGTATGGATTTTGCCATCATAAATTGCAATGAAACGCAAGCAAAATAGGAGCTCAGTTGGTGGTTATTGCTTTAACTGATTTCTACTTGTTTTGAAATGTAGGGAGTGTACTCGGGTTGATCTCTATCAGCACAGAAATGTGATTCGTTAGGGCGCGTGTCTTTTGGTGTAGAGGTTCAAACTTTAGGTCGACGTTTGGCAGGTTACCGGTGTCGCGAGTTTCGTTTGACTATCTTCGCGACAGCCGATGCAGTGCACCGTGAATTGCAACACGTCGTAACCACGGGAAGCATCTACCATAAACACGGGCCCGCATGGTTTTTAGGGTTAACCCCATCCCGATGTTGTTTGACGACGGTCAGTTTACGGCGGGTCGTCTATAAACGTTGCGCGACGGGCCGACATCTTTCCTCTAATCCCAGCAAAGAAATGCATTTGCAAACTCGCATTGGCAAAATGTGAATGCAGGTTGTTACCACAATCCGTGTTGACATGTCGTGTTGCAAACTCTACTGGGCCGACTTCTAAACGGTTTTGTCCCATTTAACTTACAAGATTTGCATCATAACTACTGTTCAGATTCCCTAGGAATGGGCATCAACACTAAACACCTTGTCGCATGGTGTTTAGGGTTGACGCCCTAAAACAAAATCCACCGGAGTCGATTCAGTTGTTTCTGCCCATGTGAAATCACTAAATCCTTAGGGAATGACATCACCCTAAACACCTCGTCGCAGGGTGTTTAGGGTTGATGCCCTTCGATAAACTTCCACCCGAGGAGATTTAGTATTTTCGCGCGCCAATTGCAAGGAGACAAAACAATATTTCATTACAGCCTGTGATAGGGTTTTTAGTTGAACGCGCACTGTCACTCAACTTATTCGCTTCCCGTGGAGCTACAGCGCTTCGGGCGCACTGTTACTGCCCAGAATTCGCTCACAGCGCAGAGTTATTGCGATTTCAACGCAGTTTTGCTATCATTGGTCACAAAATCGACGGGCCGACAACCCTGCTTGGATTGACGGCCACCGAACCGTCAAACGCTAACATTTCGGGCATAACAAATATAAAACCCTATCCGGTGGCATATGTTTCGAGGGAGGCATCAACCCTAAACACCAGGCGGCAAGGTGTTTAGGGTTGATGCCCTTCCCAACGAGTATATTTTTTCGATGGCGTGCCTTCGATAGAGCATCAACCCTAAACACCATTCGAAAGGTGTTTATGGTTGTACCCTTCTGAATGGGGTATTTACTCATCTACCATTAAAAGCATGAATAAAATTGTTACTGTTTTCGCTGACAGTATCCACAGGTTCAGTTTGTAGTTATGTGCCATGTGTCGACCAATGAAATCAAAACTGCGTTTAAATCGCATTGTTTCTGCGCTCAAAGCGAAAACTGGGCAGTAACAGTGCGCCAGAAGCGCTGTAGCTGCGCTGGGAGCGAATAAGTACAGTACCAGTGCGTGATCAACTCAAAACCCCCTGTGATAACATGCAGTTGGTGAAACAGTGTTGCCTTTCGTCTCTTTCTTTTTCGACAGCGACTCAGCGGTCCAGACACGACCTGAGCGACTGGAAGTTGGTGGCGTCGCGTTGTTCGTGCCCTTTCAGCCAGGTTCGGTTCGGTGAGAAATGCGGAGGTTTCTTTTCGCCCTTCATCCTTTCGCTTGATGGTTTCATTCCCCAGCACGAGCCGAACATATTTCAACGGTTTCCATTCCAGCACGTTCGTTTTCGGTCCTATACGTAACGCTTCGGTTCGCTGCGTTTTATCACGGTTGTGAACTGTAACCGTGCTCGAATGCAAGGAACCCACCAGAACCGAATTCTCAACGAACAACACACAGAGGTGCCTCGGGCACTGCCCCACAGCTGTCCTACTTACTTCGGATCAATCTTTGCACTTGCTTTGCTTTAATTCACTGGTCCAGTTTTCTCTCTGTCATTCTTTTCAAAGCTAAGCAAGTTCCTAGAGAAATAGAAAAAATATAACAGAATTAGAGCGAAGGTTGAAACCTCGGTGTTAGCGGTTCCTATCCTATCGCCTTTCATTATTGTCAAATTCGAGATTGTTAAAATCTTGAATGTCTGACGCGATTGGAAATGTCGGAGCAGGAGAACAGAACCAGTCCGCGACTGCCGCACCCGCGAAATTATCCACTAGCGTCAGTGCAGTCCTCTACGTATTCGTTTTTCTCTCCATCGTCCTCTTCTTCTTCGTTATGACTCGGGTCATCCGCGCGTGCCTCTCGATGCTGAAAAATCGCGCACTCACCTTAGAAGAACGCATGCTGCGTCGCACGCAACTCAGCGCGTTGGAAAAGGCGCCGACAACGGGGCTCGATCCCGAGATGGTTCAGGCGCTGCCGACAGTTACTTTCTCCCGCGAAAAGCTTCGCGAAGGCTGCTGCGAAAGCTTTCGCGAGTGCGCGGTGTGCCTCGGCGAGTACGAAGAAGGGGAGTGTATCAAGACGCTACCGTCCTGCGGACACAGATTTCACGCCACGTGTATCGACATATGGCTTTGTGCGCATGATACCACGTGTCCCATCTGCCGCTTCAACTTGAAACCTCCGAAACTCCCGGACCACTGCTGGCAGCAGGAAGATTCTCAAGGTCCAGCAACGGATGCAGGCGATTCAGGCGATGGAGACGAGAGGCATGCGACTGCTAGCGACGAGGGGGATCCGTCGGCGATAGTGAATGAGACAACAGCGGACAGTGTTAGCATCCAGGTCGAAAATGTTGATAATTCCCAACAAGAAGACGAGTTTGTCGTGGTTGGAGCAACAGCCGCAATTGATGCTTCACCACGAGCGCTGGCGCCATCGCCAGAGGTACGAGCAGCGGCGGTTGTGGTAACAGAGGAGGCAGATGCGTCATCCGCAGCAGCGGCAGTGGCGTCAGCAGGAACGGAAACGTCTCGTGTACCAGCGGGGGTTCTGGTTCCAGCGGTAGTAGAATCATCAGCGATACCAGCAGCAGCAGTAGTTTCGCAAAGAAGACGAACGGGGGAGGCGGACAGAAGTCGTTTGCAAAGGCTGGAGGGTCAGGAGGATGAGGAACGTCAGGAAGTTCAGCAGAACTTGCAGGAGATGAGCGGACCTTGGGCGGAAATTGCATTGACAGAAGAGGAGGATAGAAGGTTGGGTGATTCGAGGGGGGGAGAGGAGTTGAGGCGGTTTCTACGGGTGGCAGATGAGGTGGAGGATTCAGGGTTGAAAGAGGGGAGGGTTGATTGGGAGTTGGGGTTGGAAGGAGGGGAGTGCAGCAAAGGGGATAAATTGTGTGTCAGAATAGAGTTATAAGGGGGTATGTGTAAGGGAACCTACACTAGCCGACGCCACAGAAAGGTAGAGTGCGTTCTTGAACAGCTCCGTGGGGTAAGGTATGGTTGGATGCGGTACAACAGGATGGCTTTCAAACAACGCACGTGACAAGTCGAGGTTAGCTCCGTTGATGCCTCAATCCTCCTCGCTCTGAGTATGTGGCTAACATGGCGCCTGTACATATTGGAGCATCGTCGTGAGTCCTCCAATGCAAGAGGTTAGGTATAGGTGAGTTGGGGATGAGTGAATGCTAGTGTCTGAAACAGAGTTCATCAGTGACGTGACACTGACCTTTTTGTTTTGAGCACAACAGGTCCGGCATGCATTGAGAATGCTGGTCCAGCATGGATTGATTGTGGTGGTTTTTCTCAACATCATCCAAACCCCAATAAATTCGCATGTATATATAATGCTGGCAAGTAAGGTTATTTGAATTGGCATGCTCGTGCTCTCGTCTGATACTGAATCCACCATTCAACACATGATTACTTCCTTAAAGCCCGGGTACAGCATGGTTATATTTGTCAAATCATATATTTGTGATAGTTATAGGCTACACTGAGGTGCCCCTTAGTGGGTACAAAACTTCTAGGTTTCCCTATTTGTATCACCCAACTGCCTAGTGCATTCATTCTGCCGTTCACATTCTGAGATGGTATCATTGCTAGTTAGTTCCTAGGATTCGTCCGCCGTCCCTCCGATCTCCGCCCTGGCTCCGCCAGTCCGGCTCCCTGCCCGGCAGTTAGGTTAGGGTTCTTCCTCGCGCTGCCGAGCGCTGACCTCCGCTGCACCGCGCGCTGCTTCCTGCGCTGCCCCGCTCTGCCCCACGCTGCCCCGCGATGCCCCGCACTGCCCCGAGCGCACAACTGCACGCACAGGCGTGCGCACAGTCCCGCACGCAAGCACGCGCTGCCACACAGCAGCCGCCAACGCACAGACAGACGCGCGCGGCCGCAGCAGCTGCAGCGCGCACACACAACACAGGCCGCACGCACACACGCAGCGCAGGCCGCGCGCACGCGCAGCACCAGCCACGCGCGCACACGCGGCAGAAGCCGCATACGCGCACCCCAACCGTGCCCACTATCTTGCACACGCCTACTACCATAGGCACATCTATCAGCGGCTGGCAGCCGCAGTCTTTCCTACTGGCATTTCCTAGCCTTCCGTTCCTAGCCTAGCGTTCCTAGCTCTGCTCGCTCATTACTCCGGCCTTCCTAGCCTGGCGTTCCTAGCTCCGTTTGCTGCTCATTCTGATTATTCCTTGCCTGGCGTTCCTAGCTCCGTTCGCTCCTCACTCCAGCCACTCCTATCTCCGGCTGCTCCTAGCGGCTACTATGGCAACCCCTCGAGTTTTGCGCTTCAACGCAGAGGGTCGTGCGATAGACTTTAGCTCGTGGCTCCGCCAGGCCCAGCGTCACCTTACGAGCCAACGTCAGGACGGCGCTCTCCTGGCCCCTCAGCGCCCTTAGTCCCCTGCCTGTTGAGCCCTCTTCCACCGATGCGGAGCAGGCGGCGTACGACAGGCTGTTCTTGGCGCGTGACGTTTGGGACTCTCGCGACGCCGATGCCTGCCTCGCACTGACGGACCTTCTCCCACCGACTAAGGCCCCCCAATTCTCACAGTTCGAGTCTGAGAAGGGGTGCTATGACGCTATTGTTGCTCGTTATTCCACCCCTTTCTCTACCTCCCTCAGCCGCCTCCTCATGCCGTTCGTGTTCCCTAAACTTGGCTCATTTGAGACTGTCTCCGACCTTGTCACTCACATGCGTTCTCTTGACACTAGCTTCCCTGCCGCCTACACTGAGGCCCAGCTTGCCCCCCCGCCTATATGGCTCACCCTCCACTGGTTAGTCACCCGCCTCCCTGACGCCGATCTTCTGCCCGCGACACGCTTCTTCAGAGCACCCCAGTGAGCTTACGATCAAACTCCTTGAGAGCACTCTCACTGAGATCGAGAGTAACCTCCACTTTGTTGCCTCCGCTACTGCCGCAGTAGTTCCCCGTCTCTTTGAGGGGTGTGCTGTGCCCCAGATTCCCACCTTCACTGATTCTCTTGCCACTGCTGCGTCGTCTGTTTTCTGAGGAGACTTCAGCTGATTCTAACGCTGGTTGGCAGAAACGGGGCAAGGGAGGTAAGAAAGGGGGGAAGGGTGGTGGTGGTGGTGGTAGTGGTGGCGTTGGTGGAGGTGGGGGTGGCGGAGGTGGTTGCGGTACTAGCGCGCCTTGTTGAGGCAGCACTGGAGGTGGTACTGGGCCTGCGGGCCCCGCGGGAGGAGGAGCTGGCCCTGGAGGTGGGGCAGGAGCACAGCAGCAGGAGCAGTCACAGCAGCAGCAGCCACAAATCTGACAGCAGCAGCAGCACGGACAGTTGCAGCAGCATGTGCAGCGGCAGGTGCAGCAGCAGTTCCTGCAGTGGGGACCTCCGCAGCAGTGGGGCCCTCCGCAGCAGTGGGGACCTGGTGGTCTGGGAAGCGCCGGCCACAGCAGCGGCCCTACCAGCTGGAGGCCTCGTCCCACTGGCCGCGACATTGGCCCCTGCCACTACTGGATCCAGACGGGTCGGGTAGCGGGCGCTCCGACCACTCTGCAGCGCGCTGCTTCTGGCGCCTCGACGGACCGTGGGGTCACAGTCACGTTCCCTGCATACGAGAGGTTTGCGGCATGTACAGATGCTGCTATTGGGTCACGTCTTGCCACGTCTTTACAGGAGCCCCGCTCAGGTCTCTTCACACTACACACTGCGTCCTCCCAGGTAGCTGCGTCTAGTCAGGCTGCTGCGTCGTGCTCCTCTCGGGAGCTCACCCACCTGACTGTCCTGTGGCACCACCGTCTTAGTCTTTCATCCCTCCCACGCCTCTGTCTCATGTCTAACCTCCGTCTTGTCTCAGGTCTCCCGTCCTTGTTTCGGTCACTCCCTCCTTCGCCTGCGCAGTCGTGCACTCCCTTCGTCGAGGGTAGCCTATGTGCCACCCCTCACTCCTCCTCCCTTGCACCGGCCTACGAGCCCCTCCAGACTCTCCACTTGGACATCTAAGGCCCCGCCCCAGTCACTGGGTCGGGGGGGGGGGGGGGCTTCTTCTTGGTGGTGGTTGACGACTCCACCTGCTACACTACGGTGTTCCCCCAGTGGCAGAAGTCTGACGTGACTTCTACCCTGATCCCGTGGTTGCTGGTCACTACTGCACAGCTTCGCCGTCGTATCCTTAGTCTCCATTCTGACCGTGGGGATGAGTTTCGCTCCGCCGTACTTGCCGAGTTCTGTCGCGAGTTGGGCATCACCCAGTCATGGACGCTTCCGGACTCATCACAGCAGAATTGGGTTGCTGAGCGTGCATAGGCTTGGTCATGGAGATCGCCCGCACCTCCATGGTCCATACCCGTGCGCCCCATTTTCTGTGGCACTACGCGGTTCGCTACGCCGCCAACCAGCTGAACCCCTGGTCGCGTGTCTCTCGCCCGTGGGTTTCACCGACTTGTCTCTGGACTGGGTCCCCTAGTGTTGCGTCGGCGTTTCGTGTCTGGGGCTGCCTTGCATTTGTCCGCGATACCTCTCCGGACAAGCTCTCGGCTAGCACCCTCCCATGTGTCTTCCTTGGTTTCCTGGTCGATGCCGCTGACTTTGTCTTTCACCACCCGCCCCTCCACCGGTTCTTTGACTCCGGTGACGTCACCTTTGACGAGTCCATGTCCTACTAGGCCCGCTACCCCCAACGAGGTCTTTCGGTTCCCTCCCCTCCCCTCTTCCTCACCCCCACTCCTCCTCCTGGTCATGCTCCTCCGGTACGTCCACCCCACTTAGGTCCTGCCCCGTCAGGTTTGTCTCACGCTACCCCTCTTCCCTCGGTAGCATATCAGGTATCGTCTCCTTCACCACGGTCGTCCTCACAGTCACCGCAAAAGCCTTCGGTTCGACCGCGACATGTAGCAGTGGACTCTGTGGGTGCTGACACTAGAGGTGTTGGTGATGGAGGTGCTGGCTCTGGTGCTGGCACTGGCGGTGCTGGTTTTGGGGGTTGCTGGAGCTGGAGGTACTGGCGCTGGAGGTGCTGGTTTCGGGGGTGCGGGAGCAAGAGGTGCTGGAGCTGGAGGTGCTGGCTCTGGGGGTGCTGGAGTTGGAGGTGTTAGCGCTGGGGGTGATGGAGCTGGAGGCACTGGTTCTACGGCGCCTGCTTTGCTTGCCCCCCGTTACTTAACGCATCTTCAGCGTCTCCGGCAGCTTGAGCGGCAGGAGCAGGAGATGCAGCAACAGCAGCAGCAGCAGCAGCCACCGCAGCAGCCGCAGCCGCAGACGCCGCAGCAGCCACTGCCGCAGCGGTCGTCGCCAACTGAGTTGTCTTTGGACCCTTGTTCCTCCTTCCTCTCCTCCTGACCGCTCACTGTCACTTCCTACTCACGGTCCTAAGTTTCCTCCTCTGGAGTCGTCTCCAATTCGGGACCTCCAGTGTGGTGGCTTACCCCTCCTCGTTCTCTACCGCTGTCTGTCCTCCAATTGCCTCCTTCGTCAGCTCTCGTAGTTTCCTCACTACCTCTCATTGACTACTACCGTGCTTCTCGGCCTGTTGTCTCACGCATTCTCCCGTCTCTAGTGACAGACCCTACTCTACTCCTTCTCCGTCATCTATCGTAGCTCTTGATGTTGCTGTCACTGGCTTTGCCGCCACCGACCGCCTTGACTACGCCACCCGCTTGGTGGCCGCTCCTTCTACCCGTCCTCTGTCCGCCGGGGGTGAGTCTGCCCTTGGCTATGACGTCCTAAAGGACAGGTAGTTTGAGCTGGAATTCCTTGCAGCCGCTTCTCCCCATCTCTGTGCCATGCTGCTAGCCATTGCGTCCATACATCCCGACTCCCCATACGTACACTGAGGCAGTGTCGGGATCATGGGCCTCTCAGTGGATAGCAGCCATGGACGCAGAGATGGCGTCTTGGAGATCCACATGCACGTACGTCGACATGGTTCCCCTCCCCGGGCGAACGTAGTCGATGGCATGTGGATCTTCAAGGTGAAGCGGCGGCCTGGTTCGCCACCTGCCTTCGGGGCCCGCTACGTGGCTAGAGGCTTCAGTCAGCGTGAGGGAGTAGACTTCTTCCATTCCTTCTCCCCCACCGCGAAGATGGCCACTCTTCAGGTGCTACTAGACGTCAAAGCACAGCGAGATTACGAGCCGCTGTAACTGGACTTCTCCACTGCCTTTCTCCAGGGCAGCCTGCACGAGGAGATCTGGCTACGCCGTCCTCCTGGCTTCACTTGCACTTTCTCGCCTGGGACCCAGTGGAGCCTGAGACGACCAGTCTACGGACTGCGCCAGACACCCTGTGAGTGCCAC